TATCTCCTGAGCAATTTTATTTATAAGGACTTATTAGTCAATTGTTTAGAAAAATTAAAAAGAGCCTGTTCAATGAGTAATAAGCAAAATTTTTTAAATGATGATAGAGCCATGAATAATGATATTTTTTCTAAGAGCATTTAATAATTTGGGAAAGTGCTCATGATATGATTGATATGATACTAAGTAAAATGAATAAGATAAAAAATGGAAGATATGGTTCATATGGGAGGATATTTTCTTCTTGGCAATGGAAGATGCTGATGGTTGATCAGACCACTGTCTTTAAGGCTCCATTTTAAAATGAATCATATGTATTTTTGTAGCTGTGAACCTTATCCTCTATGCTTCTTTCCCTTTGAAAATCGAGCACTCTCTTTTTTCCCTTTACACAGAGCAATATATCTGCCCAGTAAAACAATAAAAATGATGGAAATTATTTGGGGAATGGAGATTAATTTGCAGTTTATTTAGAGATTTTGCATATTTCTTTATGCTTTCAACAGGGCATAGTCCAGGGTGCTAAACTAAAACAAAGGTGCTAGCTTGAAATCTTCATTTATTTAAAATATATTCACCTTCCTTCTTTTATCATGAAAAAAATACAGTTACTCTGACTTCATTAATAACTAAATTACCTTGAGTCTTTGAATTTTAAAATTGTACTATATGGCATAATTTATTAAAAGGTTAAAAGTGGATTTCTAAGAATTTAGATATGAGCGGTTTTTTTAACCTAAAATGTTTTCAGGAAAAAAATTAATTCAAACTTGGAAATTATATGATAGTGCTACTATTCTTTTTATCCCAAACCTTCATTTCCATCAGCTGTATAAACATACTTGAGAGAGCTAAGTATACAAATGTCCAACCGATTTCTAATTGCTTAGTTATTTTCATCAGTACTGACGGTCAGTGGGTTTTTAATGTAAATATTTTACATGTACAATGAGAAAGAGACACAAGAACGAAAGCTTGAGAAGGTTTATTCTCTGCTGCTTGAAATAGCGCGTGGAGTAGGAGGGTGGGCAAATCTGGGCCTTAGAGCGCCACCCCATGGTAGACTGGGCGAAGGCCACTGCAGGGGTGTGCTCGGCTCTTTGGTCCAATATTCTCTGCTTTGTCCGCGTGAAAGAGTTTCCTTCACTCAGCTTATTTAAAATATCAACAACTCTAAATAACTTACCTTCTCTGCACCAGTGGTTGAGTAATTTCTGAATCTAGGAATCCCTTTGAGTATTTCGTACTCTGACTTTAAGAACAGGCTTCCCCACGCCTGCCCTGTCCCAACCCCAGGATAAAACAGAAAATGTGTGGGGATCTGAGTAAATAAATAATCTCACAACAAGGAAAGCGTTGTGAACTTGTGAGCCTGGGCTGCAAAATTCTCTCTCACAAAAAGACTGGTTTAATGATCAGTTTCAATATCTACCATCAATATTCATACTATCTCTACATTGTTACTTTGCAAAAGATCATAAATTGGCTAAAATTGCCAAAACCAGTAAACAAGAATAAATGCAGTTAGACTTTCTGGGGTGTTAAACCAGAATATGTACGTGTGGGTCGTTATCGGCTTAGAAAATTAGAAAATCAGGAACAGTACAGAACAGGATTAGAAAATTAGGAACAAAAGCAAGGCACTGTGAAATGGCAATTAAATTCTTGTTTGACTTAAATGCCTTTCTTTTATAACAGCTATACATCCTTTCCATTTTTATCCTAGTGATTTATTTTATCTAAAGTAAAAAGAACATTACCTTTCTTGAGTTCATTCCAAAATTGTTTCGGATAACATAGAATAATATAATTGAAAATTCTCCCTGTCACTTTCATACCACATTAGCGGAATAGAAATGTGTTAATGTTAACTCTTAAGGCTTTTTGTTTGCATTAACTTTAAAAAATGTTTAAATTGTTGTTACCTTTTTCAATATTATAAGTTCTCAAGACTCCCATACACAATGGGGAAAAAAAAAAATCCATTTACAAATGTAACAAGCCCGGGCAGAGGCATTTCTTCAGGCAATTCCCAAGGAAAAGAATTGGGACAAGGAGTCAGAAGCAGGGGCCCCATCTAGCATTTCCAGATCCACACACCCCCTTTCTGTCAAAAATCTTCCAGCTGACTTCGCAAATGGCTTTTACAGGTATAATTGGGGTGAAAACCAGCAACATTGGGTGAGGAGATATAAATTCCGCCAAGAAAATAAAAAGTCCAATAGTGAAAAAATTCCCAGGAAAGCACTTGGAAAAGAGGATAGGAAGAGTAGTTAAATGGCAGTTTTCTGCCTGTCCAACCCTCCCTTCTAATGACTTCTTTTATGTCAAGAGAACTGCCACTTCACTTATCTCAGGATTTCCCTTTTTCAGGAATGGCGATGGTAATGAAGCATTTTTGATGAGCACAGCCATTGTTTGCTCTGCGCTGTCCTCACCCCTCAAAAGAATTTCCCTTATTATTATGAAAGCTTTTTGTCTTAAAAAATATTACATGTTAATGGAACTGTCGTTTAACAAATGTTTTATAAGTGTACCAACAAGCACATTGTCAAAATAAAAGATAGGAAATAAGTGAAAAAAATTGTCTTTTTTATACTTTATAGTTCAATTTAACACTGCTATCTTTTTTAAAACTGCAGAATATAGCATACACAGGTAAGTATTTACTGTGTAAAGAATAATAATAAAATAAACTCACTTGTAACCATCTGATTAAGAAAGAAGATGTCGCTCCACTTTGGAAGTTCTCTACTGCCCCTTCTTCACTACAGTAACCTTTATCCTGACTTCTGTGACATTCCTTCTCTTATTCTTGTTGTTGTTGTTGTTTTTAAAATATAGTGTTACTATCCATGTAAGTATAAACTGAATTATTTTGCAGGTTATCTGCTGACCTTTCAATGTGTCACTTGGAAGGAGAAGTCTGTCTCCTCCAAGATGTAATTTGTAGATATGTCATCATGTGCTCCCACCTCTTTTTCCCATTCAAAAGACTCAAGTCTCCCAGGACCCACATCCCTTTCCTAAGAAGACTTCAGTGCTCTTAATTCCAGTTTACCCTGGGAGATTCTTAAGCTGTAGATGATGGAGTGCATGTGGATAGCTAATAACCAGTGCATTCTATGCATGCTCTGAAAATGCCTGCTCTGGGTCTAGGCTAATATGTAGGAAAAGTGGGTGGGCAGATGTTGTTTAATTTCAAAGCATTAGACCCATCATTGTGTTATCCCAAAATATGTCTCAGAATTAGGCTAATGCCCAAGTGTTATAATTTGGAGCTTTATTGCTTTGACCTAAGACTGTATTTTGAAAGAGGCCCTCAGATGGGCATCCTCATCTGCTTTATCAACTGTACATTCTTTGTGGTAAAAGAAGGTCTTACGCTGGTTTCTGGGATCATGTTTTCAAAGGGGACAAAGGTGAGGCTATCAGGACAGAAAGGATCAGTAATGGGACCTCTTGAAGATCTGCCATTCGATGACTGAATAGCCACGACAGGTAGAAAAGTACTTTGAACCTAACATGCAGGGACCTATGGTGCTGCAGCTTTTAATAGTGGTGGTGTTTGATTGTGATACATGCTGGCCTCCTGAGTCAGGTGGCACAAGAACAAGTTTCCTTCCCAAGTCTCTTCTATAGTTTTGCTTCAAAAAGAAACCTATAATCCATGCAGAAGGTCAGTGACTGGAACGGTGTTAAAAGAAAACTACTGAAAGAATTTGCCAACACCTTGGACAGACTAACCCAACAAACATCGCCTACTCTAGTAAACACACTAAAGCCTTCTGCAAAAGAATTGTATGATGTTTCTATTAGCAAGCTATGCCTGGGAATGTCAGAATTTTTCCAGCACTACAGGGCCTCTTATACTACCCCAGAACCTTAGCTTGATTTAGATTTGGAAACAAAATATTATATCCATATCAAGCCCCACTAGACAGAGTCCTCTTGGATCAACGATTTCACTGAAATTAGAGCTTGTCTCCTAAATTTCCTATCAAGTCTTGCCTTAAATCCTTCTATTAAATTTCACTGCTACAGATAATGAGAGTTAGCATATAGCACAACCAAAAATGGTGTGCAGAAGTCAAGGACTATGATTTGCATAGGTGTGCTGATAAAACAATAAATTTCTGTTTCTATACCCCAAAAGACTTGGTACATTGAACAGGTAAAACCCAATGATTCTTGTTTAATCCAGAAAACCCAGGCCCTCTATGGACTGGCCTTCAATTGAGCCCTTATACCCCAGTTTCTAATCTTGACTGTGCATTGGAATCACCTAGGGAACTTTAAAACATACCAATTTTTGTGTTCCACTCTCAGAGATTCTGATTTAATTGGTCTATAATGCAGCCCAGGTGGGTACTGAGAGGTTCAAAGACACTCCAGGTGATTCTAATGTACAGTCAGGATTGGGAACTACCGAGCTAATCACTGCAGAATTGACCACATTTTATGGTCTGAATCAAAGACAATAGAGGTAGAAGGTGCAGGGGTTTGTTCCCAGGCACTGGGTTAAATTGTGACACCCCCCCCCCAAAAAAAAAGATATGTTTATGTCTCACTCCTCAGAACCTGCGAATATGACCTTATTTGGGGGGAAAAAAAATGAGTCTTTGTAGGTGTGATTGAATTAAGGATCTCAAGATGAGATGATCCTGAATTTTCATGAGGGTCCTAAATTCAAAGACAAGTGTCCTTAAAAGTGGAAGACAGAGGGAGATTTGGGATGGAGACTGAGGAGAAGGCCATTTCAAGAAAGAGACAGAGATTGGCATTATTCAGTCACAAACCAAGGAATACTTGGAGCCAGCAAAAGCTGGAGGAGGCAAAGAAAGGCTCTCCCTGAGAGCCTCTGGAGGGAGTGCAGTCCGCACATACCTTCGTTTTAGACTTGGCCTCAGAGTGGTGAGAGAATAAATTTACGATGTTTTAAGTCACTCAGTTTGAGATAATGTTATGGCAGCCCTAAAAAAAAATCTAATACATTGTTCAATGGCTTTATTCATATTATCACATTTAATCCTCACAAAATTCCCTATGAGAGAGGTATTATTATCCCCATTTTAGAGATGAGGAAACTAAGGCTAAGAGAGATTGAACAGCTTGTTCCAGAGGCAGAGCTAGTCGTGATACAACTGGCTTGACCAGAGCCATGCTGAGTGGCATAAAACTGAGAACATGAAACTTCCAGAATGTTAATGGGCCACTTTGACTTGGATCCAATAAGTCTAAATACATCCTGATTCGAGTCCCCCAACTCAATCTTAAGGCCAATATGTTTCATCTTTAAAATAATTTTTAAACGCAGTTTGTGTGAATGGTTATCTGTTCATACACATTCAAATATACAGTTGGAATTAGATACCTAGAAGAAGGATGTTAAAATTCATACACTGTTGCTTGCTGTTAAGATTCCCCAAGCCTTAGGAAACTGGCACATCTGTGCTTGTTTAGTGGTCTTTACAATTACTAGATCTGGGCTTGATGTCTCAAAACTGGAATTGTACTTCTAGCTCAGTTTCTAATATTTGGGATCTACCACTCAACTTTCTGTATCTCAGCTTCCTCATCTATAGAATAGATGTGAAAACTCTACCTCTCAAGATGATGTGTGTGAAAATGCTTTGAAAACAATAAAGCTCTCTACAGATGTACATTGTGAGTGTGTATGCCATGGTTACTGCTGAAAGCCATATAGGCTCTGTGATTTTAAAAAAGTATGGAGGGTGGTCCGGGTGCGGTGGCTTATGCCTGTGCTCCCAGCACTTTGGGAGGCCGAGGTGGGTGGATCACTTGAGGGCAGGAGTTCAAGATCAGCCTGACCAACGTGGCAAAACCCTGTCTCTACTAAAAATACAAAAATTCACTGGGCGTGGTGGCAGGTACCTGTAATTCCAGCTACTTGGGAGGCTGAG